TTTGTTGATTAGAAGTTGTAATGCAGAAAAATCAAGTGTGAACGAAGCAGCAGCTGATCCTGGTTGTGTAATCTCTGCTGAGAGAGCACAGCAGCTGGCCCATTTTACCAGCACTTGCACATTTCCAACAACTAGAGCACTAATCATCACTGAGGTTTAATGTATTTCTACTTAAATGGACGGTTTCTGCGCTGAAGCTGGAAGATAATGTGGATTGGCAGTTTTTATGTACGGTAGCTGCTTTTACCTGTGTTTGAACTCCATCCATCGAGGCTTTCAGCAGAACTTTACTCCCTGTCTTACCCATGGTTTTACAGCACAACCTGTTACATAAAAAAGGTTATATCTTCAGTACAAAAAATATAGTCATGAAATAAGATGGGTACCATTGAAAATGTTGCACATACAGTATTATCTAAAGTATAAAGCTGAGACAACAGAGCACATGAATCAGCAGAAACGCATTTATGGAAGAGCTGCTTTGTCAGTTACGTTCATGCTGTCAGGAGCAACATCTCCTTTTGTTTGTTCCACATATTATTTTCTATTTTTATAAAACAAAATCCAGATGATGCTGCCCTGAAAGAGCCACCACTACACAACTAGCTAAACAACAGAAAATACATATCTTAACACTTTTGCACCCCAAAGAATTGTGGTCGAGAGAAACTAAAGTTTTGGAGGATGAGGGAGGAAATAAACCAGAGCGACTGAACGCTGTGAAAACTTATTACTGTGAAATAACCTTTTGTCAGAGTAGTAGCTAAAGAGACTTCAGAAAAACACGAAAACTTCCGCTTCTTTCTTAGTGCCCTTGAACACATCACTCAGTGATAATAAGTTATTTTGCTATAACCAAGATAAAAAAAAGAACCACTTAAAGTTTACAGGTGAAATTGAGGTGGGCTCGTGTCCTCTGAGCGGAGCTGCCTTCACTTTCACTTTAGTTTCTTTGAGAAAATAATTCTGTTCAGAAGGATTGAAACCTGGCCACATTTGTGGCATCAGTTTGTGATAATATTGAAATTTAATTGAAATGTATTCTTGGGTAAATATCATGTGCCACTAAAAGGCCAGCGGCCACTGAAAGGTTAGCAAAACATCTTCTGAACCACTGGACAGATTTTAATGAAATTCTCAACAAAAAACAGTTATATTAGATGTACATCTACAACTGAATACCTTTTGGAGTCATCACAATTCAATACAGCTACCACAGCTAGTTGGCCCTTAAAATAAAATAAAAAATTAATAGTCATAACACAGTTTGACAGACAATAAGCTAACATTTGGTGTGGTGGTAGTTAAATGTGACTCTCTAACAGATCAAAATAAGATTAATATTATTTTCAGAATTTCACCATAAAGGCTTAAACACCATTATTTTTCAAAATAAGATGATCTTACTTTGTAGTTATCTTAAACTATGGCATTAAAATAATGATTTGAAAAATGAATAATTAAAAATGTGTTCATGTTTTGAGTTTAGTTTCAGCAAAGTTGTCTTGTCGTCCATTGTTACATCATTGTCTTTAGTGCGTTTTTGTTATTTTTGTTTTGAACATTTCACACATACAACAGATTTTATCTTTGTCAGATTAAAAGTTCATTATTTTGCACACCTGCCTCTGAACGGTCTGCCTTTTGATTTTCCATTTTTGACTTCACTGACTTTCACTCTGATGTGCTTCTACAGTCAAATTACAATATGTTCGATCATGGTACTGATTAAATGTGTCATGTGCCACTGTTTCAACTGGTAATACATCAAGAAAGATAACTATAAACATGACAATGGAACACAACTTTTGCAAGACTAAAGTTCAAATAAGTGACCAAAATAAATTATCAACAAGAGCATTAAAGTCAAAATCCAAAGGTCATCATTGAACCTGAGAGATGCAGCTCAATAAATTGATCTATTTACAATTTGCCAAATTTTTTTTTTAAATGATCACATACAAAGTGACCATTGGGAGGCTATTCTTGAATGTATGTCATAAGAAGCGTTTGCTTTGAGCAGGAATTGTGAGAGTCAATGTAAATGCACCCTGTTGTGAATTAATTACATTCTAACGACTGATTTATTACTCACCCTATTCACCAGATCAATGACATCTTTATGTTCTGCAGAAGCCTGTTCATCCCCCATTGATTCAAATCAGATGTGTGTGTTGGAGCAGAGAAAGATCTAAAACATGCAGGATAGTGGCCCCCAAAGACCAGGAATGGGCACCCCCCGTTCTACATTCATCAACAAAGCTAATTTCTCTGTTTATATTCTTCATTTTTTTCATAATAACTCCATATTTTTGTCTTGTTAGCTATATTCACTGGAGATGACTGAACATATTATTCTCCAAATGTAAAGTAATGAACTTATTCTGACTCAGCACGTAACAAGTTTGTTACAGAATTACTGTAGTTGATGTTGACATGTAAAGTTAAGTTAATTGAATTTGGAATATTTAATCTTATCATCAGTTAATAGCTATATTTCTGCTGCCTCAACATTTGCTTCCATTCACAATACGCCATTCTGTTTTCGTGTGTTTGAAAATAATCACCGTGAAAAGCCCGAACACCTTCTAGAATAGTGGGTTACTTGTGACGTTGATCTCTGAGATCCAACAATGACTGAAATGTTTGTTGAGGAACTCCTTTGATTTTCGTTGTAGTGAAGTAGAATTTTAACATTTTCTACACGTTTTGTTTGAATTCCATTTGGGATATTTTACTTATTTGGACTAACATTATTTGTTAAAAACAAGTCTCTCTTGTAAATGAGTTCTCGAGGCTCAATGAGACGAACCTGTACAAACGAAGGTTGACTAGTGTGAATGTCAATTTTTACAAAGTGAGAAAACTACAACTTCTGTTAAATATCAAGGATTAGAAAAGATCCACATCCAGCACAACACTGTCAGCAAAGCACCCTAAATCATCATCATGATTAATGTATTCATTGGTCCAATTAGTAATTTCTATAATCAGAAATTAGTGAGACTCTCATTTCCATTGAATTTACACCGTCAGCACTAAATGGACAAAGAAATATTTTTAACTATATGTCCATTTAAAATGTCTCTCACTTTCAAAAATAAATAAACAATATATATCCAGGTTTGACAGAAGAAAACCGTGTTTATTCCCTCTAGTTTAACGCTCAAAGCTGCAGACGGGTATGGAAGTTCTTTCTTTTGATAATTCTGCTGATCTGACAGCTGACGAACTTCTTTCAGTTACCTGACTTTAAGCTTTTAGTTTCTCCCTAACAGAAGGACATCATGATTCTTGGTGTCCTTCCTGTAATTTTGAAATATTCTGGTCTGCACAGCTTCACTTACATCTTGAAAAAAAACACTTTGATTACATTTCAAATAGCTTAGTTATAGTATTTTTTTCATCAGAGTTTGGCACTCATGTGCAGCTCATCAATACTTCACCATTTTGAAAGGGTGGTGGTGATTGGAGGCTTGATCACCATTTCACTTTTTTGAAAACATCACCAACTTCAAGTGAATGAATCGGGGCTGTTTTGATGGTAATTCTATAGTGGGTGAGTATTCACACTGAACATTTCTGAAGGTGTCCCATAATAGATGATACCAGCTCAAAGTCTCATTACGGGAAAAAAAAAAAAAAGTCTTAAAGTTATTATGGTACTTATTCCTGTTAGTGTCCAGAAATCAGTCTTGATTTCACCCATTTGGAGATGTAACATTTTTATTATTCCAATTAATATTTGACCTGAAAACTTAGATTCAGCAGGTTTATGGACCTGTGGACTGCTGAGCACACCAGCCTTTGAGGCTGACTGAAATGGTTTTGAATTCGACTCTGGTCATTTTTTTTATTTGGATTATGCGTGTTTACCTTTAATCCCACTTATGAAGCACATTGAAAAATGATTGCAGCTTACCACGCACATCTTGGTCTCTAAAACCAATTAAAACGACATTCGTATTCAGCACCAAGCAAGAACATGACCCAGCACTTCAGTTTTTATTCGGTACGCTGGGGTTTATAAGAAGAACGCTTAAACTCAGGTGAATGTGCTGACAGGGCTGTACAATTGTTATCAGTGCCATGATTCATGTTGCAGTTTCTCGTCAATAAAAGTAAAAATTTCATTTAAAAATGCAATCACTTTGCATTACAAGAGATTTTTGTCATATAGATACTCAAAAGTTTAGTTATGAGTTACTTACATTTTTTTATTCCATTTCCAGCATAGACCATAGAGATTGTTATGATGCTGGGAGCAAGAAATTGATAGAAAAACTGACTGATTGCTTGATTTGATCAATGTAATCACTTTACAAAATCACAATGTTGTACTCTCCCAGTAAATGCTAAATACATGTTCATAATCTGTCCAATGGTTCAGATGACAAAGTTAATTACTGTGTTTAAATTCGTTTAAATTCAAAACTTTACATGTTTTCAGAATACTTGTTTTTATTTTCATCTAATCAGTTACATAAGATACAAGTTTTTACACTAAAAGTGATGTGAGTTTTGTGGCAGTTTCATATGATGCAAAACTTAAGCAAAACTGTATTAATTTGAAGTCCATAATTTTAGATATTCTCCAGTTTTTTATTTATTTGTTGTGAGAATACACCAAATCTTGCTGTGTACGAGTTTGCTTTTATGTTTATGAAGTGGTCATAAGTAAAATGGAGTCTCTGTTGGGCTTTAGTTTGTAGCCTTTTTCACTCATTTTGAACAAAAAATATATTTAATTATGTATTAAAATGAGGGTAGCTGCCAGGAGGGTCTCTAGAATCTAACCTTTAGGTGTTCTCAGCCCGCAGTTCTGACAATGGCTCTTGGCTTCAACAACGCAGTTGCCATTGGAGTCAGTAACATCTGTAATGTTGGGGTGGGGGCACGCTGTTGGAGTTTTTGAGGGTCCTTCCCAAGAAAATTTTGAATAAAGTAGATGCCATTTCTTGCATTCTGGTCTATTTTAACGAGCTGTTAAACATCTAAATTTACACTTGATTCAATAACTATTTTAGAGTTAATGGCACAACAAGAAGTAGCCTGACCAACAGCTCCCCTTGTGTGAATAGAGCATGTGCCACTTCTCTCATGCATCCTAAAATCACTACTGGTAGCTGCAGTTAAAATGTTTGACAATTATTACTGGATTTCTTGATTTGTTTGTGACTGAATTTTTTAAAATCATGTTCAGTAGTTTTGGAGGTCAGATCATCCAATATTCAGAAATTACAATAATTTTAATAAATGCTTAATATCCATTCCATTATTAAGAGACACGTAAACTTCCCTTCCTGCCAGCACTTCTACATCAGATAAAAGCGTTATTTTACCTCATACCTAAACATGTACAACTGAGCTTAAGGAACGGTCTGCCTTGTTTTTGTGATTTTTATATAAACTGATTTTGGAGACATTTTGCATCTGGAGATTTGATCTGATAAATGATGTGGTGCTGGAACGGTTAATTGCCTTTTCACTTTGTACTCAACTTGTTCAGAATCTTCCTTTGTGCTGCTGCAGTGACCCATTTTCTTTTAAGGATCATTAAAATTTCATTTCATCACTCAGTTTAACATAATGTCTGGTGGCGTTCTCACTTTTACTTTCTTTATGCCATTCACGTTGCAACCTGCTAGAGCAATATGTGCTCAGCATTTTCACAATCTACGCACTCTGCAGACGTTAAAGGGCATAAATGTGTATGAAGCAGATATACTGCAGAGCATATAAAGACAATTCAAAGTACAGATAGCAATGTGAAGTGTTGACTGACATTTGAAAGAGTTTTAAACTATTAACTTGGCACAATGCTGAATCTTTACAATTTTAAATAGTGGAAAAGTGGTTTATTTGTATTAAAGTGCAACTTGAATTCTCAAATGACTGTTCAGTAGCTTCATTGCTAACAATCAGAACAAATATTGATGTCAGGACGGTATCCAAAGGATTATAAAATAAAGTCAAAGCCGCTATAAACTGTTTAGAAATGACAAAGTATTCAGTCTCAAATAAATTTTCATTCAATTAAAAACAGATAATTTTATTTTTGCAATATACCCCCATTTTCCCTTAGAATTTAAAGATTCAACAATTTAGTGGTGATGAGATAACAAAACAAAAAAACATTCTCAGTACAAGGAAACAACGTGCAGATTTTACAATAAGGTTAATTTCTCTCTAAATGCAACACTCATCACAGTAATTTGTGGGAACATATTATGGCAGAGTTGTTCCAATGGATTCATGTGAACAAAGGGAGACACTGATGTCCTGACGCCACATTTAAAAGATAAATTATAACAATCACAAGCTTTTAAGAAACAAACAACACTTGTAAATGAGCCAATGCATCTTAAAAATAGAGCAAGCCGAGTTCAGTCAGTGCAAAAACACATTACATAAGCCCTAATGAATCAAGAACCTCTTTTCCAGGCCACGAAGCCTCTGCATTCGTTGACTCCTTGTACACTCACCTCAGGTTTGAAATATATTATCTGCTTTGGCCTCCTCCTCGTCACAGCGGTGAGTTCAAAAATATTCTGCGTCTGTCTCGTTTGGGCTGGGAGCTTAATGGGAGAATCTGACAGATGTTAGTATCATGGCTGAGGCTAAATCCTGCTTGTATCAAACCCAGCATTTTGGATTAACTGCCCCAGCCAATGGCTACATCTGCTGTGCAACAAAAATCAGTGCCCTGTAACTGTATTTGGGCCTGCACCCCCCGCCCCCCCCCCCATTTGTACAACTGTACTCAACAGAAACAAAACCAACTGTTTGTTATGATGTCAGTGGTTTATCTGTAACCCAATTAACAAGACAGTAAGTCTTTATGCTGTTAGTTTTACATAAAACATGTCCTCCATCTAAAAACAACTTGACTTCATATAACTTTAAAACAATTCTCCAGAGACCTTCAGATCTAGCAGATAATGTGGAGTTTTTTAATGCAGTACTTAACTATGCAATAGTTGTATTTGGACCTTCTTTTAACTTGATGGTAGATTTTCACAAAGTTGTTCCATATTTTGCAGCACAATAAACTGTCAGAAAAGGAAAATCTCCAGGCGCTCATACAAAATGTGACTCTGAGCGTGTCTCGTGTTCAAATAGAACATCTGACCTGATTACCTGCTATGTTCTATATTATATCAGAACAATAGGAACATCTTTGTTGATCTCTAAGCAAAAACAGTTGTACACAGAGGATTAGACCATCTTATTGTCCATTATTACAGAACTATATAAAGGCTGACATGGGTTTTATTCTCAAGAAAAAGCATAAATAGGTATGCCTTGATTTATATATTTTTTACAGAATATAACTCCTGTATGAAAAGTGTTTACAAAATCATGCAGCAACA